TATATAACCTTTTCATTCTGCATGATAACAAACCAGAACCAAGCCTGCCTTGGTCATAAAATGGGCCCTGGTTAAAAAGTTCCCTGGTTAAAATTTGCCTTCATCGATTGAAACTGCCTTCTGTGATTTTAGCCGATTAATACAACCAGGTAGCTAAGCAAGACAGCCCAAATTTCAGTGCAACCTCCTCACAATGTTTGCTTGCTTGGCAATGCATCCGAACTTTAAATTTCTGGGATCAGTGTACCTGAACTTTAACACTTCAGGGAAGATGCCAAAACACAAAAGAAAGGAGGTCTAGCCATGCTATTCTCGTGGGGAGGCCCCGGTGGAGCCCTTCCTAATCCTGAAGCAGGGCTGCAGACGGATAGAATTTCAGGATCGGGGGATGGAGCAGGCGCAGGCCAGGAAGTGAGAGCGGCATCCTCAGAATGGAAAGGCATCCCCGGCGTTGTGGGAGGGGAAAGGGAAAGGCCCGGATCCTGTTTCTTAAAGCAGCGTGTGGGCGGGGGGAGGGGGGGAGCAGATGGTCGCAGCCTGGACGGCCCCCAGGGGGCTGGCCTGGAACAAAGCAGGGCGCAGAATTTGGGGAGCTGCGTCCATCAAGGTGTTTGGCTTTTCTCTTTGGACAGGCGGCTCCCTAAAATAAAACTGGAGAGAGGGGGACGGGCAAGGAGGGTACACAAAGTGCCTCTGGGAAGAGACGAGGCAAGAGGCGGGCACACTGGGGCATCCAGAATGGAATCGGGAGAGGGGAGTCACCTTGGAAGCGGCGAGAGGCAAGGAGGCGCACAGAGGGATGTTGGGGAAAGAGGCATATCAGGAAAAAGGGAGAACCCCCCTCTTAAGAACCCCCCCCCCCCCAAAAAAGAGGCTAGAGTAGAGGGAAATACTGGGACAATACCCTTCCAGAAAGAACCATACAGCGAAGCACAGAGAATATCTAAAACGGGAGGGAAACCAAGACAGAATGCGTGCGTCGGACTCCAACCATAGAAAAGGCTTATTCACGAAAGGTGGGCTTGCATGCTATCCCCACCCCCCTTCCTGTATAAAATGCGGTAAGACTGTCATAATAATGGTGGCGAAGAGAAATCAGGATTCCCACAAAATTATCGAATGAGGTTAGAATTGAAATTCTCCAGCTACCGTTAGGAACCGAGGACGTACTATTACGGAGTGGGATGGTGTAAACTGCTGACCCGCAACAGTAAGGAGTTGGACCCGATGGCCTTCCCGGCCCCTTCCAACTCTTCCATTCTATGATTCCATGCATTCAAAATCAGGAATTCCCATCGAGAGATTGAAGGCTATACAATCGGGGTGGTTGCGGGGAGCCCTACGGGCACTCTCGCCCCCTGGGGTTCCCCGGGGTGGCGGGAGATCCTCCGCAGCACCTCCGCGACTCACCACGTCCAACGGACCACCGGCTTGCTTCGCCCTCCGCCGCCTTCGCTCCGTCTCGGCCGCACCACGGAGTAAAGGAGGCCGGCGCGCAGCTAGCTGGCTGGCTGGCCGAACGCGCCGCAGCCAATGACAAGCTCGCTCTCCCGCTCCGATACGGCGCCGACCAATGGGAGCCGCCGGGCATGACACACCCGTGTTCGAAGGAGCCGGGCGGAGAAAGGAGGGAGACCTCGCTGGGAGGCGGGGAGGAAGGTGCGTGCGGACACGGGTCGGAGCTCGGTCTCGAGAGTCCAAGAGATGGCGCTTTGGGGGTGGAGGGCAAAGGCGAAGTTCGCTTCACCTTAGTTTTTTTGGAAAATAACTAGAGGCAGACGTAACATTTTCTTCTTTTTGCAAGCAAAGTGGTGCCAGGCTACCACCGTTTTGTTTTTCTCCTGGTGACTTGACCTTTAACGTTCCTCTTGGCCCGGTTTAGTCAAGGGAGGGGAAAATTATTCATAACATGCTCAGATGCACCCTTTTCCACTTCAACCGATCCGGGCTGAATGCTGGCTAGTTCTGAAAATGCGTTCTGGGGCCTTTTATTTGCTGGTGATGGTATTTTACAGCGCAGATTAAAAGTGTATTCTTACAATATACACTACTTACTTCTGAGTATAACATCTAGAACGGCATCCTTAATTTCCTACCCAAAATCATGACTTTAGTTAGACTGCAAGAATTATGAATGCAAGAGAAATGCTAGGATTAATAATGCAGTGTTCAGCCCAATTTTCCCTTCTTTGCAGTGTCTGCAACTTGTTTTGCAGTATCTTTGTAAAATCTTTGCAATATATTAAATATATAAACAATGCAAAAAGCAGGGCAATATAATTAACATATAATTGAGAAGTTTAATGTACAGCACAGCATAACCTCCCCTCCCCTCCCCACTGACCAAGTGTGTCCATCTGCACACAACCTTAAGGGATGTCTTTTTCTGCAACATCCAGCACTGGCATTGCCCTGGCAGGTGATGCTGGCTGGGGCCTGGCCACCTGCTGCAGTGCCTGAGACATAAATGGCATTGATGGCCCAGCTGATTGCCAGCAGCATTTTACGGAAACAGAAAACACTGCTAGGAATGGTCTCCCTGCTTAGCAGCACGAGTTGTGGGAGTGCCCAGAAACATTTCCCACAGCTTCGCTTTTTCTGGCTGGAAGCACCCAGCCCTCCAGGATGGCTTCAGCCTGGTGCCCTCCAGGTATGTTGAACCACTAGCTCCACCATTCACAGCCAGCTAGGGATTAATGTTCTCTGGAGTCGTTTTAATTAGGCAAAGAGCAAGACTAGTGGCTAGTTAATTGCACCGAGATGTGACAATGGTTGTTAGTTTATTTTTAATAAACTAGGCAAAATCAATAATTCTGTTGACAGGTGTATAAGCCATGGCATCTGGCTGGTACCTCCTTGGATGGGGTGGAGCGTGCTCTACCACTGGGCCATAAATGCTGAAGACATACAAAACAGGAGCACTGCTTCATGCCCCCCACAGCATCAAGCTGACTACTATGAGAAAGCACCCTGCAATTCTTCAGCCCACTCACCTGGGAATAAATCCCACTGAAAGTGGAAGGTTTTTTGGAGTAGATACAAACAGGAGTACAGTGAATTGAGTACTCAATGGTGTACTTGATGAGTAGGCATGTCCAGAACCAGGGTGTACCTTGGAATGATTCAGCACACCAGTTCATGTATTCTTCAGTATTTCTCTTCTGACAAAGTAGACAGCAACACATGCAGGAAGGTGGTTTAGGCAAGCCCCATGTTATAGGTGAAATCTAGCAGCAGAGAAGTTGACCCAGTAATAAGCAATTGAGGTCACAGTGTCCAGCAGCTGTGCTTGCCCTCTTGTAACCTCCTGACCATTTAATTTGTCTCTGAACCAAGTTTTGTAACTGGTGCTGTTTATTAGTTCAGAAGTTAATCTGAGAAACAGCCATCTTCGAACTAGCATAGAATCAAAGCTCAAAACTTGTCTCAAACTTTATTTCCAAATTTCTCATTTGCAAATCCCAATATCCTCTCAATAAATAGCATTTACTAGTTATTGACAGAATATATTTGATACCTATTTCAGTACTTGGTAACTTCTGACAGACCATTGCCATTTGAACTGACATGCAATGAATTTAACCATGGATTATATTTAACAGCTGGGCAGCTTAGATTTCATATTCCATGCCTGCCAAAACAAAACTTCAACAACTATCAAAGCACTCAAAGTCTGAAGTAGTATTTTACAATATATCAAAATCCAAGTAGTAAATCTGGAAATACGTGAAAGTGCAGCACTTACAAATAAACTGTATGGTTGGAAGAATGCTCCGCTTTCCAAAAATTCACCTCCCTGACTTTGGGATTACAATGGCAAACATATTGCGTCAGCCTATTAATTCCAGGGGGAAAAATAATTGTTTGCTTAGAGGACAAACTGCTCTTTTGACCCACCAATCCTTCCCCCTTTCTCTCTCCCTGCCTAAATTCATAAATTACCTTGATTTTCCCAGTCCAGTTCTTCAAATATCTACTGAGGCATTAATACCTCAGGGTGCTGCCACCTTTAATCATGCCATGCATTGCATGCTGGCAAAGCTTAAGAACACAGAGTTAAGTACAGGTGGTAATGCTCTGCTGAGATTTTCAGGAAATTATCTGCAAATTTGGTAAGATTTGCAAAAGGGGGGTGGGGGATATGGAAATTCTTTGGCCAAATCTCAACAGGCAGCATGAAGCAAATATAGAGCTCATTCTTCTGGCCATGGTCCTGAACAATACACCTTCTTCATGCCATTGCAACAGGCTGTTTGGTGACATCTGATATGCAGCTTTGCTACTGTGAAAGAAATCATATCACAATGCTCCTTAATCATAAGTTTCTCTGGCGAGCGTAAGGGAGACTTTCAAAATCCCACTGGCTGTCATTTTGCTCACATCAGGATGAGGTACTCCTCCCCAACACCAGCAGGTCCCAAGAGCAGCTGACTCAGAACCGCCAGAGCAGTCTTCCCAGCGCTTTTTCCGTGGGGCCTCTCATCTCTCTCTTCCTTCTCCATACTGGCTGCTCGTCAAAGCCTTTTTTTTTAATTGTCTTGCCTCTTTTGTGCACGTGAAAGCAACGGGACCTGATTTAGCCATGACTTGATGGGACCAAGTCCCAACTCATCCAGACCGGCTCAGCTTTTTGCCACAGTACACTTGGGCAGGATTCACACACACTCTGACATCCCAAAGGCTGCAGTTTTCCTCCCACTAACTGCTGCAACAGCTTTGCTGGGGCAAAATGGAGGCAGGTATGTTAGAAATTTCTAAGAGGGTCCTGCTTGCTGATCCACATGGCCTAGGGTGCCCTAAATACACCCTTTCTCACTGGGGAAGAGGCATCTGCCAGTGATCGGGAAGGCCTCTTCGCTGGGGCAGCCCATTGCTGCAATTCCTTCCCCACTAAAGCCCAACAGGTGCCAACCTTGGTGGTATCCCGGCACCTGTTAAAACCTTACGTAACTTGTGTTTGGTGGCTTTGAATAATTCTGTTGGTGAACTTTCTGCTTTAGTTGTGGCTTGGATTCTTTTAATTATTGCTTGAAAACATTCTGTACATATGAGGGTGGCACAGAAAAAAATTATAGAAATGAATAGCATTCCTCTGCAGTTAGTTATGGGACCAAGTTAGGCAGCAGAGTGTACGAGAGCAAATTTTACAGTGAGGGGGAAAGCAGGCAGACAGAACGAACTGCAGAGCCCGAGAAAGCACACAGCAGGAAGGGAAACACAGCAGCAGCCTTCTGACTGAGCAGACTGACGAACAAAGGGTGACCTAGGAAGCCATGCAGGCTGTGAAAGCCTATCCCATGGGGGACCACAACCTGCCAATCCAAGACTGCCATCACTATGAGCTGGCAGGGCTCATTCTGGAGGAGCACGCCTTCCATTCTGAGGAATGCACCCAGGCTAAATTTCCCTGCAGGATAAGGAGCACAGGACCACAGCTGAAGCAGAGGTTTCACAGACAATGTGGAGCTTAGGGAGCATGGAAGAGAGACAGCAAAGCCGAAGTGCATGGGATGAAGCTCCAGTAAGGCACCATGTCAACACAACTGCCTGGGCTGGCTGGCACGGGTGCCTGCAAGCCGGGATGACGCCCATCGCAAGCCGTGAACGAGCTTGTTGAATTTCTGCATCCCCTCACATCTTCTCAGTGGTGGCCATTCACGCTTTTACTGAGGAGTCATCAAGGAGTCAGGATGCGTGCACACCGAGCTACCGGACCACCACCATTGTTCAGTCGTACCTGAAAACTGGTAGACTTCTGGAACGGATCATTTCAGACTGCAGTTTAGGGAAGAGTCCTATTTCTGAATGCAATATATCAGCTCATCTTGCCAGGACTGAATCGGTTCTCTACATACAGGGAGCTTTTTCTCATGTGTGGAAGGCACTCACACCTGTGATACCCTGCCTGCAATCTGACGTGGTCTATTTCAAGATTCTGCTTTGTCAAGCCTTCTACAAAATGTACAGAGCAGCACTCACGCACAAGCACCCTGGGTAGAACAGGTGTTATAAATTAAGGCAAATGGGAACAGACTTGGGACTTGACTGGTGGGCTGTTGGAGAACTGAGCAGAAACTGGGTCTTCTGCTTGAAGACCCACCTTCAATGCTGTATTTCACCTTAAATCCTGTGTTTCACCTCTGAGTTACTCCTTTGTTTTCAAATACGTGCAAATACTGCTGTTCATTTTTGTTGTTTTGCTGTAATTCTCTAGACAGCCTCTTTAATCTTTCTTTGGTATAGGGGAAAAGGCTCAGAATGTTGGATTTAGCTCTTAAAAACCAGAAAGCAATCAAATCTCTTTCCAGCTTCTCGCCTAGCTGGAAAACTTTCTAAAGAAAAACGCTCACAATTCTCACACAGGATGGGCCCATACATGAGATCTTTTACAGTGGACCAGTTAATTCTTCACATTCTTTTGTACTTGCAGTGACAAAAATGGTAAAGAAAGAAGACACTTGATTTATTGAAAGAATGCTTCTGTGCAATGCCAGGGCACAGAGGTACTACACAGACACTTCCTAAGAGGAGGAGAAACAACTCTCCCCTCTCGTTCTATGGGCAGCATTCTGCTGTTCTTTGTGTTCATGGGCTCTGATGCTGCAAAAAGCAACAACAGAATGCCCAGACATAACCCACCCAAGGCCAATGTCCTTTTGTTTCTGTAATCCGGTCTGTTCCGGTGCACTGAAATACAACTCTTAACCCTCCTAGGTCATTCGTAAAGCAGCAAAGGGTGGCTGGGGGTGCCATGAGCAGTGGCCAGCGTCTCTGGGCAGCTCCAGATGCTGTCTTCAGTCAAGCTGTAGTGACATCTAGTGGTAAACTGCTTATGCTCTCCTAAACACTCCCCACGGCCCCCAAGGAACAAAATACTGTGCCGCGTGTGTTGGAAATTCAACAATCCCTGCATTTCACAAAAATCAATGATCTGGACATGTCCCCCTGAGAGACCCACTTAAAAAGCAACTTAAAAACCCATATAAAAATGCCTGATAGCGTGTTGAGTTCAGAGTTGGCTTGCTTCTGTTGGTTAACCAATGGTTTCCGGAAATGTCAGAAGCAGAAACTGCCCCGATTGATCGTTCTCTTGCAGGCTACTCATACTGCATAGTGTCAGCCTTTGGTCAAAATGGAGAGCACACACAGGCTCTGGATGCTGCCCAGACCTGGACCCAGGAAGCGTGCTCTTCTCCCTGGGCCAGGAGTATTCCTGGTGGAAGATACAGTGCAGCCTCTAAAGGTCACTCTGCTGAAATGAAGGAGGATTAAGATACTCACAGTTAAGTTTAATTCATTTCAATGGGTTTACGCTAAGCAAGAGTAACACTGGCTAATCCCCATGGGTCTCTTGCACCTGTGAACCACTGCACAACACTGTCCTTGGCTCTCTGTGTAGTGTTCCCTTCTTCCTTAATTTGCCTTGCCCTGGCTGCTTATTATTTGTATTCATTATTACTTCGGGAGTAGACAACATGCAGGCTATTGCTCCCCACAAATTAAAAGAGTGTTTTTGACCAAAAAAAAAAAAAAATGTCATCCTTACCACGTGAAGAGTGTTGAAGGGTTCAAATTTGGCTGACACAAAAGCAAATTCAACTTTTTAAACACTAAAGTCATGGTGCAGTTAGTGACAGAACCTAGGAAGCAAACTGGAGATGTTTAATTTAAAACCATTTTTAAAACAAAGCATTTATTTATTTTTTCCCACAGCAGTAGGAGCATCCACCTCCACAGAATTCAAGGAATTGTGGGTTAGGCTGCGAAGGAGTAATTGGCCGAAGGTCACCCAGCCAGCTTCATGGCAGAAACTGGGTCTTCTCTTAACTAATCTGGCACTTTAACTAAACTGCCCCTCCATCTCCCATCCCCCCAAGACCGTTCCTCAAACTTTTCATCCTGGGTGGCGGTCCTTCATGCCTCCTGGTTCCCAACAAGAGAATCTTAGTCCAAATGTGCCAAGCACACCGAACTCACCAATTGTTTCAGTGGTTTCAGGCAGCCTCCCGGTCCTACAAACCCTGCTGCTCTCAGGCAGGATTTTCAGAGCTGTGCAGCCATTCATGCACAGAAGATGCAGCTTTACTATACAAGAATTTGTTGCTGCACGTAGAATTTAGGATCCTAAATGCCTTGGCTCAGAGGATGGCCATTGTGTTTCCAAGGAAAGGTAATGTTTTGTGACTTCTCAGAAGCAAGAATCATTTCGGAACTGGATTTCCAAGTAGTCCAGGAACATGGCTCCAAGGGCCAATGAAATGCCTTGTTCCCCTCCACACTGAGTTGGAAAAAATTACACTGAACAAGCCAACTGTGTAATTTTCATTAAGGTATAAAAAAAATGGGAGCGTTCAACTTTCCTTCCCACAGCATGAAGGCTACTCGTACCCTGGGCCAGAATGTTTTAAAGTTTAGTAATGCAGAACATAAAGCTTTAGGCAAAGGGTAGGAAATATAGCAATTGGCTTCCCCATGGCATGAATTTGTTTGCAGCAAGAACATGAAAAGAACTTGTGGCTTGGAAACACAGAAACAGAACAATTCAGAAGGGGCTTCCTGGGCCATCTAGTCTGACCCCTGGCTCCAGCCGGCTCCACTCATGACATGCCTAACAAATTGATTGGGCCCAAAGGTTTCAGAGACTAAAGTGTTCTTCATCAGATGTATTGTGACACTAGGGCTATCTTACAACCTCATCTGCTCATTCTTAAAGCGCAACTTATTTTTGTTACAAGAATGAGACTGGCACAAGCACTTGGGAACTGGCAGCTGTTCTTGGGAAGCAAATCTTTGAGACCCTCTTTAAAGCTGCATATCCCAAACAGTTAGCCTTCTGTAACAGTTTAAAATTTCTGTAACATAAGCATATGAGCAAAATTGTTCATAAATCACAACCCACCTATAATTGCAGATTAAATATATTTAATCTGTTTCTAACACATACCCAAGATCAATTTGGTTCCTCATTCCATTCGGAGGGTAATTTTGAGCAGAACCCTACAGGAAAATTACTCTGAATGTCCTCATGTTCTACTTCAATCCTTTTTGGGTTGGGGGAACACCTTCTTTCGGCAGTAATCTTCCATAACTCCTGTTAAGAATAAACATTTCAAACTGATTAACCTCACAGGCCGAATTTTAATCAAAACAGATTTTTTAAAAAGTAGGCATTCCCCTGAACATTTAAAACTTGACTGCATCAAGATTATAATTAAGAAGAGAAAGGAAGCAAACACTGGCTTCTGCCATCAGCCTAAGCTCACCAGGAAGCTGTGCCCCTCCTTCTCGGGCACATCAAGGTGAGCAGGAGGCCAACCTGACCCAGCCATCAGTCAGTAAAGGAATAGGTGCAGGGGGTGGCTCCCCCCCCCCCCAAAAAAAAGGCCAGCTACTATTTTCTGTTGCCCTGAGACTGCAGTAAGGGGAGCAGCCCTCCACAGGCACCACCTGCCAGCCAAACAAGCAAGAGCTGCCCAATGCTGCTCAGTGTGAGAACTCCCGTGAGGGAATGTGCACCGATGCCGACTTACGACTATGTTTTCCAGTAGCAAGCAGCTGATGTGCCACTTCCACCTTTTTCCTTCACTCCCCTTCCCTTTTCTGTCTCACTCTGCTTTTAATCCTAGTGGCAGGATCCTCTCCCTCATTTTTTAATTGATGGGAACTACTTTGGGGGAAAACTGAGTAAGCACACCCATCACCTTTGTATGGAAGGTTCCTTAAATTTGATGTTTCTGTTGAGCTTTTGAGATAAGAAAAGGAAAGGGGATCTACCCGTAGATCTACCCGTATCTACGAGATGAAGAGAAGCCTGGACTGACTCTCACAGCACACGGAACTGATTTAAGCACCCATGGATGCATTTTTGTATTTTCAACTAATATATTCACTGCTTCCAAGCAAATCCATCCTTCTCTCTCTCTGTAATCTATTCATGTGTGCTGGTCAGGCTGTCTGGTTCACAGGCTGAGGCTGCAGGGCCACCCACACTTCTCCAGGACGATCTTCATGGAGCACAGTGGGATCCGCTTCCAAGGGAAGATGCACAGGATCATTGTGCTTGTTACTGTGTGTGCTTGACATGTGCTTACACAACAGGATCTGGTTTGTGAGGGTAAAAATTCCTGCTGGTTCCCAAATGGCACCCTTCTATTTCACATTTCCTTCATTTGATGCCCTTCCTTCCTACCTACATTTTAGAGTTTCAAATTTGTGTTTTCTATACTGGATTTTGTTATAAGACAGGACTTTAAGACTGCATTCTAAGGAAGTCTGAGTTTCCTTCAGAATTTACGAGGTACTTCCTAATGATTTTCTCTGGAAGGCTAAAAAAGATTACTTTATTCTTAAACTCAGTGCACCTCAGCTTTGGTATTTTTCGGAGCCTTCTTTGGGGTTATAATCACTTGGAGAGTATTATCTTTCAGAAATAAAATTTCTGGAAACTATTTTAAAGCTGGTGTCATCTGTTTTATAGTCTTTGGAGAGATGGGTTGAGCCTTCTTAAGAATAAAGAGGTTTCCCAGCATCTTGCAACCTTTTCTCTCTCTGGGGACCTGTGGCAGATGGCTTTCAGTTCCTCTAATGCAGGGGTCGGCAACCCACGGCTCTGGAGCCACATGTGGCTCTTGAATGCCTCTGCTGTGGCTCCGTCGTTTGCGTCACAGCCGCCGCCGATCCAAGGCCCGTGCCGGCACAGCAGCACGGCCAACACAGTGCTTGGAGAAATCGAAGAAAAGTTTCTGAAGAAAACCTAACATTTAATGAAACTTGGGTAGATTCATTTTCTTTTACTGCTGACGAACTTATGGGGTTTGCTGTTTAATGCATGCAGCCCTTTAGCACTGACTTTGACTCTTCAGGAAGCTGTTCTCCTATTCAAAATATATGAAAGGAGTCCTACTAGTTTATAATGTAAGATTAAAAATAACAGCTTTTAGTGACTGAACAAGAGCTGCAGCTAAATCATAATGAAGATATACATAGCATTAAGGTAAAAAACGATATATGCAGTGCTATCTTCATTTTCGATGTCAAAAGGGTTTTGCGGCTCCTGGTGTTTTCTTTTGTGTGGAAAATGGGTTCAAATGGCTCTTTGAGTATTAAAGGTTGCCGACCCCTGCCCTAGACCATCTTCTTTGAAAGCGTGACAGCATCACGCTCCCGACCATCAATGCAATGCACACCCTCGGGGGGGTGTAGCAGGTGTGTTCCCATATGGCCTGCCAGGATCCTACGCCATGCACAGCAGAGAAAAAAGTGTGGAAAGGGTTTCCCAAAAATAAACAGAAAACCAACAAACACAAAATTTGACATACCTCAGGAGATGCAAAACAAATACAAAATTGCTCATTTTCCATAATTCTGGTTAACCAAAAAGAGTGATGCACGTGAGTTTCAGCCCTTCAGGGCCAGCATGGTTTGCAAAAATGATAAATGACTCTTTGGGTGAAGGCAGACATCACTTTTTAAAAGTGGCATAGGCAGTTGTATAAACTAACACACACTTTTCTCTCTTAGGATTATCTTGGAAAACACCACTGCTGGGTTTCAAAATAGGTAAACAATGATCGAAGGATTAGTGCTGTGACATTACCAAGAAGCACTTTTATAACTTTTTAAGATGTTTTCAGTAACGTGATGTACATCTGTTTCTATATATGCTAGTCCATGTGCTTTCAAAACAAAACAAATCTGATATAAAAGGCAGGACAAGACAGAAGACTTAGCGTGCAATCCAGTGAGGGTGGCCATGACCCCCCAAACTCGGATTATGGGCATCCTGTGCACAGTGGGAGAAGCATGGAGGCAAAGGTTGCTCTTGCACTCCTCTGGTCATGTAAAGCACTCAGAGAGCCAATTTTGGGGTGTTCAGCCCTGGTGTGAGAGGAGGTGCTGCACACTAGCAACACCGGCTTCCTCCTCTCCCCATCTCCAGAAGCCTGTCTCTGAGGTCATCCTCGCCAGCCTGTTTCTTTCCTGCACTGGCCGGAAAGGGCAGGAAAAGAATGTCCAGAGTTCCGAGTCCCAGCTTCGACATCAGAACAAGCTCCTGAGGCTGGAGGTGGGGTTCAGATCTCATCATCATCAAGACAAATAGCAAATCTGCACTGGCACATCAGTGAAAAATGGGCTGCAGTCATTCTTGTCTGCCCTTTTATATTTTAATATGCAGTGCACATTAATCACGTTCCCAAGGCTGTTTACAAGAAAGAATACAATGCCTGTTTTCACCCTCACCTGCCACTGTCCACCAGCAAACTGGCTGACAGTGAAGATCAAACCATTTTCAGCACTGCTGAACTGCTGAGTTCAGCCAGGTGGAGAATACAAGAAAATAGTTTTGCTCCGCTTTTATGATTAATCCGAAAAGCTACCCAGAGGTTATTTAATTTGTCAGACAGTGGTACCCACCAACTGCTCAACCCGCTCATAAACAATATGCTGAGGAAAGGAAAGCTGAACGGGTTGAGTGGTGTATCTCATCTTGTCATCTCTGATATTCAGCAGGTCCTTCAAGCCACTCTGAAAGTGATTGTATGCTTCACACACAACATCCATATGCCTTCGGGTGAAGTTGAGCCTGGCAGAGAGACATCCATTTAAAACACATCACAAAGTATCTGTACAAGACTTACCTTTACAATCAAACAAAAGCAATCGGATCCCCCCTACCCCCATGACTCCAGATGCCTTCACACCTCTAATTAATGGAAGAACAAACACTTGACTGTATTGTGGCAAAAATGTCAACAAATCCTCAGGCCCGAGTGTAAAGAGGATGGACTCTCCTGGGGCTTCTTGAAGATCTCCCAAGAACTAAGGGCTTTACTCTCAGATTCCCAAGAGCTAATTCCCTTCACTCACTTTGTAGCTGAACTGGCCTGGTGTATTCTACCCCAGAAATCAGCGCAGGGTAACATTAATACACTGGAGTTAACTGGAGGAGAGGGAAAAATTCACCGTGATGACACTGAAAGCGCCACAGCAGCCCTGCTGCACCGGCTCACAGCCCTCTCTGCATTTGCCCCCAGCAGGCAAGTAGGCACCCTGGGGTGCACATAAACAGAACACGAAGCCACAGCCCTCTCCCACAGCTGCTCCCTAGGGACAGGTACCCAGAGCTATGCTGCCTGTTCCTGGGGGCGGCACACGACCATGAAAGAGAGTGAGCTCAAAATCCCAGTTTCAAGCATCGCTTCAGCCAAACATGTGCTAACAACCATCTTGGCCTCTTTCCCTGCCAAAGCAGTGGGAAGAATCCATATTACAGGATGCCTTCAAGACCATGTCTATAGTATGCAAAGCATTTCAGTGGAATGTAAATGCCAATCATAGAAGAAGCATGAAGGTCCCAGAGGCCTTTCTTTCGTCGTTTTAAGACTCTTCTATACCGCCATTTACTCTAAAGGATCTCATCACGGGGTGGGGGGCAGGGGGGTGTTCAGTCACAGTCATGCCTGCCTCTCTACAATCCCACAGACCACGGCGCTCCACGCCCTCCTGTCCTCAACCAAGTTCCCCCAAATCCATGTTCACTGCATCAGTGACGCTGCCTAACCACCTCATCTCCTGCCGCCCCTGGCCCCCTTGCTGTCAATCATTCCCAGCATCAGGGTCTTCTCCAGGGAGTCCTTCCTTCTCATTGGGTGGCCAAAGTATTTGAGCGTCAGCTTCAGTATTGGTCCTTCTAAAGCGGCGGTTCCCAACCCCCAGGCCCAAACAGATATACACAGAAATAGAGCGAGTCAGAAGGGGCCTCCCGGGCCATCTAGTCTGACTCCCTAGTCTGACTCCCGGCTCCAGCCGGCTCCGCTCACGACATGCCCACCATGTGCATGACCAGCCTATCCTTGAACACCCTCACCGATGGGGCCTCAACCACCTCCTATGGAAGCCCATTCCACACCCTCGGGGTCCTGACTGTCAGGAAGTGCTTCCTGGCATCCAAACAAAACCTTGGCTCCCTGAGCTTTGCTCCGTTGGAGTGCGTCCTGCCTTCCTCTGCAGGGGAGAACAGGTCTCTACTCACCTCCGTGTGACATCCCCTCACATACCTGTATGTCCCCAACAGTTTGCAGGGGATGCCGTACGAGGCGAGACTGAGGCAACTGGGTCTCTTCAGCCTGGAGAAGAGGAGACTCAGAGGGGATATGTTGGCGACATGCAGGTATGTGAGGGGATGTCACGTGGAGATGGGTAGAGACCTGTTCTCCCCTGCAGAGGAAGGCAGGACGCGCTCCAACGGAGCAAAGCTCAGGGAGCCAAGGTTCCATTTGGATGCCAGGAAGCACTTCCTGACAGTAAGGACCCCAAGGGTATGGAATGGGCTTCCACAGGAGGTGGTTGAGGCCCCATCGGTGAGGGTGTTCAAGGACAGGCTGGACGTGCACATGGTGGGCATGTCGTGAGCGGAGCCGGCTGGTGCCGGAGGTCAGACTAGATGGCCTGGGAGACCCCTTCTGACCCGCTGTTTCTGTTTCTCTGCATGAATCTCCTGCGGTCTTGTGAATGTGCTACAATGTCCACCAGAAAGAACCAATCCTTGGCAACCACCTAACTCTTCGATGGTGGACATGGTTGTTGACTCTGATCTCTGAAAAACAGGTCTCTCACATTGCTATTTTCATCTGGTGTGCAGCAGCTGCTGGGAATGTGGGGCAGTAGGGGGCTCTTGCAGTCATGCAGTGCTTGAAGGATCCTGTGCGCAGCCGCGTTGCCACAGCGCTGGACTGGATGTACCCATGGTCTGATCCAGCGAGACTTTTTGTATGTTCTTATGCTTTTTGAGACCACCTAATCTGCGCTGGAAAGTCCTTTGGGAGACAGTCTTATGTCTCCCAAAGGAGAGCCTTATGCAAGTTGCAAACCTTCTAGCATTATCAACAAGCAAGATAAAGCAATCATACTGTAATGCATGTTCTGCTTAAGAGTCAAAGACATCATTCACCTCTTTTCTACTGACAAGTAGATTGTGGAAGGGTTAGTCAAGTTGCTAGTGATTCGGTACAGCGTTCTGAAAAAGGCATCTGTTAGATCATCATCATAAAACACTAGGAAAAAAAAGACAAACAGCATCGAGATCATCTGGATTTTGAGTTTCTTCTGCATTAAAACTGATTTAAGAATATCCTGTTCTTTATCCCGAGCCTTCAGAATGCAGTTAGCTACACTTCAGTTCTGAACAAGAAAGACTTTTCAGTTCAGGGCAGGAAGAGATGCAGCTTTGTAACCAGGAATACAGGTGGGATGAATTTCACAAACTGCTTTGCACTGAACAGCTTAGGCTGCAATCCCACCTACCTGGAAATAAGTCCCATCCAATTTGATTGGATGTATTTCTCAGTAGACACACAAGATTGTGCTGTGTATTATTTAGCTTTTGGTCAGCTAAAATTATGATCTGACCCTGCTGTATCTGCAATAGCTTTTACCTGCTATATTTTTCTATTCTGAAATATTGCACAATTCATTGGGCAGGGCTGCTATGGAAAGGTACAAAGCTCCTCCCCAGCCCCTCTATTTTAAGGTGGATCATCCAGGAAATACAGATTGTGCTTGGTGCCCATTATCATTAGCAATTTCTGTTTCTGAACTGTATAATTCCTCTCAACTGTGATATTTTTCTAAGCCATGTGTGAGGTTTTCCTATCACCATGTTAAATCCAGAGAAAGCTTTGTTTCATTTCATTTTCCTGATTTCAACTCTCTCGTTGGTTCCACCTAATTTTAAAAGCATTCTTTCAAAATTGGCAAGTTAAGTCAGTTTTCTCATTTTATGGCTATAACAGGGATTAGTGAATTCTCGAAATACTTACAAGTATTCAAAAACACAAAAACGCATGGAGCACGGGATTTAAAAATAATCCCCAAGTCTTTGCTTCTTCAATGAGATTTCCAGATTTATTTTCTTACCATCAGCAGCAAGTATCACAGTGGAGAGATCATGCAGCTCCACAATCTCTTTTTCAGACCAACTGTAGGGATTTTCAGGATCTGCATTAAAATATATATTTATTAATCAACCAAAGACACATGCATTGGTTACTTCCCAATTGGACTTTTGTAACGCACTCTACGTGGGGCCGCCCTTGAAGACAGTCCGGATACTTCAGATGGTTCAAAACAGAGCAGCCAGGTTGCTGATGGGGACTGGGCATTACTCTCACATAACCCCAGTCCTCTACCAGCTTCACTGGCTCCCCATCGAAGTCCGGGTTCAATTCAAGGTGCTGGTTATCACCTACAAAGCCCTTAACGGCTTGGGACCTGGATACCTAAAGGAACGTCTGCTTCCATATTTGCCCTCCCACCCCTTGAGATCAGCGGCAGAGGCCCTCCTCCGGGAACCCTCTGTGAAAGATATTAGGAGACTGAGTACCCGGAGGAGGGCTTTCTCTGCGATGGCGCCCCACCTATGGAATGCGCTCCCCAGAGAGGTCCGCCTGGCGCCATTGTTATTTGTTTTTCAGCGCCAGGCCAAGACCTTTTTATTTAAACAATATTTTAATAACTGTTAATATTATTTATTGGTTTTAACTTCTATAGCCAGGGTGAATCCAGATTTTATATGTACTATATATATGCCTGTCTATTTATTGTATTGGAAGCCGTCCCGAGGCTCATGCAAATGGGGCGGCATACAAAAACTCCAAACAAACAAACAAAGTAAAAGATTTTTTAAAAAATTACTCAGGTCCTAAAATGGAAAATCTCATAATAGGGAAAGCTCTAGAAACCCTGGATAGGGAAGGGAGGTTGGCGGCCATGCAACACGGCTTCTGCAAAAATAGGTCCTGCCCGACAAACCTTGTGGAGTTCTACAGTAAAGTTTTGAGGTGGCTGGATGTGGGCGATGTGGTGGATGTGATTTCCTTGGATGTCGGCAGGGCCTTTCACAAGTTGAGAAACTGATGAGCCTTGGGATAGACTGATGCATTGTCCAATGGATTAGGGCATGGCTGACAGGAGCAAGAGCAGAGGGGGATCATCAGGGTGGTGGCCGGTGCAGAGCGGAGTCCCTCAGGGCTAAGTTCTGTGGCTAATTCTGTTCAACATTTTTATCAATGACCTGGAGGAGGGGGTAACCAATATGCTGACCAAATTCGCAGATGATACCAAAGTGGGGGTGGTGGCCACAACTGAGGAGCAGGCACTCAAAAGAATCTGAACAGTGGAAGTGGGCAGGGGACAACAGGATGGTGTTCAATACAGATAAATGCAAACTCTTGCACTTGGGAATCAGGAATATGTGCCATAGGTACAGGATGGGGGACAAGCGACTGGAAAGCGGCACTTGTGAAAGGGAACTCGAGGTAATTGTTTATAGCAGGTTAAACACGAGCAGTGTGATGTGGTATTTAAGAGGGAAAATGCCACTTTGTATAGCCAGAAGTGTGGCTTGCCAAATCGAGAGCAGCACTGGTACTGCTCTACAGGACTCTGGTGCGCCCACAACTGTAGAACTGTGTCCAACTCTGGGCTCCACATTGCAAGAGGGACACAGCAAGGTTGAAATCACTTCAGTGCGGGGTCACAAGGATGGTAGCTGGATTTGGGGGGATGCCATATAAGATGGGGTTGAGGGAATTGGGAAGGATGTGTCTAATGGGGCAAAGCTAAAGGAAGTGGGTTTTAGGTTTGAGGTCAGGAAGTACTTCCTGATGGTTAGGACCCCTAGGATATGGAATGGACTTCCACAGGAAGTGGTGGAGGCCCCATCAGTGAGGGAGTTCAAGGAAAGATTGGCCACCCACATGCTGGACATTATATGAGTGGAGCTGGCTTGTGCCAGGGGTCAGACTAGATGGCCCAGGAGGTTCCTTCTGACTAGCTATGTTCTTTATGTTTCTACCAAGCTGACAACTTACAAAGTGTAACACAAAAGAAAAAAGGTATGGAAAGAAAAACAAGCAAATTCAGGTAGCAAAACTTTGCCATTACATAATAACTTTAAAAATACTAAATAGTGGCACTAAATAAGACAGTTTGTATTTTGATACCCACGCCATAGCAGAATATATAAAACAAGTGGGGCTGAATTCTTTCTTTCTAAATCTAAAGGACATGTAAGATTACCCTTAACAGCTTGACTTTTAAACTCTGATTAAAAGAACAAGAGTTTCGGCAGTGATGTAAGAGATGTACTTTGCACATGCTCAAAAACTAACCCCTTTGCTCATACATTCCAAAACCAAGCCATCCGCTAAAATGCTAAATAAGTTAAATTAGTAGCTCAGTAGGATGGAGAGAAAACCTCAAAAGAGCCTCTGCTTACCAGTACAAAAATCAGCTTTCATCCAGTCCAGAACTCTGACTTTAACTTTACTGCCTGTAAATCAGTAAGAGAATAGGTAAATAAGTGGTAACTTATGTTTAGAGAAAAGTCTACTAGAGTTAAAAGTAAGTAGTGAACTAACAAGACTGGAAATTGGCATCGTATCAGCTAGGGCATTCTGTTAAAAGAGTCTGTCTCAGTTTTAAAAAAAGAGAGACATACAAGCAAGTCCTCAAAATAACCACTCCAAAAGCTAGAACAAGATTTAGTCAATATGCAGAACATACTAACAATTCTCTGTTCATGACTGCTTGTTCTCCTACAGAAATACAATTCCCATAACCCCAGACTTAGTTCCAGACTTGTGAGAAGCTGAAATAGATACAAATATCTGGGCAGATCACAATCCTGTAACCATGACACTGAAATGGACAACAAAAACACCCAGATGGGTATTTAATAAATCTCTATTAAAAGATAAAAATTTTAAAGAAGAAATAACCAAGGAATTGATTTTTTTTCAAGTAAATAAAGCTGAAGAAACCTCTTTGCAAAATGTTTGGGATACACCTAAAGCATGTTAGAGGTCTGATAATAACTTATTCAGCAAAAATAAATAAAAAGAGAAAGCAGGAATGCTTTAAACTAGAAGATGAATTGGCGAAGCTTGAACAGGAGCTTCAGAAAGACCCATCAAAAAAGACCTTAAGACACAAATGAATATTTTAAAACACAAATTGAACCTCTTACATACAAATGAACTTACCAAACAAATGAAATTGACTAAACAGAACTTTTTTGAAAATGCTAATGAACCAGGGAGATGGTTAGCCTACAAACGAAAGAAGGAAAGAGAAAAGAGACTAATATATAATTTGAAGGATGGAGAAGGACAACTGCAGGTACAAAGTACGTCAATCAAGAAAATAGTGAAAGACTTTTTGTAAAGCTGTACCAAAATAAAGAAATCCCAATTGAGAAAGTTAATGAGTATATTCAAAAGGGAACTTTATCAAAGTTGTCGGAGAAATACCAAAAAATATTAAATGAGGAAATAACAATTACAGAAGTAACTGAAGCGATCAAGAGACAAAAGAATGACAAAGCCCCATGGTCCGGATGGTCTACCAGCAGAGTTTTATAAAGCTTTTGAAGGAATCCTGTCCATGCCCTTTAAGGATATATGTAACGCGGTATTGTCAGATGCTAAAATACCAAATACCTGGACTGAGGCAAATATTACCTTAATACCAAAAGAAGACATGGACTTGACACAGATCCAAAACTATAGACCTATATCACTTTTAAATGTGGATTATAAATTTTTTGCCTCTGTAATGGCAGAAAGACTGAAAAGGTATCTAACGGACTTTATACACTCAGATCAAAATGGCTTTCTACCTACATAGAAGACAAATGAAAACTAATATGAGAATTATTTTGGATATTCTAGAATATTATGAGAGTCACTCTGAAAAACCAATGGCATTATTGTTTCTTGATGCACAGAAGGCCTTTGACAATGTTAACTGGCAATTTATGAAACAACAACTAGCACAAATGGAATTTGGTGGAAAATTTATTAATGCAATATCAAGTATTTACCAAAAACAGACTGCCAGGATAATAATTAAAGGAGAACTTACAAATACTACAGATATTCAAAAGGGCACAATACAAGGATGTCCTCTATCATCATTGTTATTTATATGGATTTTAGAAGTGCTAAATAGAAATATTAGAGAAGATATGGATATTAAAGGTGCTAGAATTAGAGATGAAAGCTATAAATTGCAAGCATTTGCAGATGATCTAGTTTTTATTCTAGAGGAACCTTTGGTAACAATGTCTAAACTTTTACAAAAGATAGAAAAGTATGGTGAAGTTACTGGGATGAAAATAGAGAAAAGACGAAATTGCTAGTGAAAAATCTCACATTGGAGCAGAGAATAATCTTGATGGAACAAGTAGATCTTCAAATTGTTAAAAAGGTTAAATATTTGGACATTTTTCTTACAGCTAAATGTACTACATTGAAAGAAGATAATTATGATAAGCTACTCAAGAAAATTAAGAGTGAACTAGAAAAATGGGTTAATTTGCAACTATTGCTGTTTGGAAGAACAGCAATATTTAAAATGAATATATTACCAAAGTTTTTATTTTTATTTCAAACAATTCCCACAAAAATTGATAAAAATTTTTTGATGATCTAAACAACCAGATTCTGAGATGTGTATGGCAAAAGAAGAACCAAGGATTACATTAAAAATATTTCAGGAGGCCAAAGGGAATGAGGGTTTTGGCCTGCCTGATTGGATGTTGTATTACCAAGCTTCTGTCTTAACGTGGCTAAAAGAATGGATAACTTTAAGAAATAAGAGAATCCTTTATCTTGAAGGGCATGATCTACAAATGGGTTGGCCTGTGGTATGAGAAGTGTAAGGCACATGGTTGTTTTTTAAATCATTACAATAGAAAGTCATTAATGCCGGTGTGGGAAAAATTAAAGACAAAACTGTACACTAAGTTGCCAAGATGGCTTTTGCCTATGAAAGCTCTCGTATATCCAAACGTATTGAATTTTGATAAGATTGTGAGATATGATGATATTCTGGATAATGATGGAGGATTGAAACCGAACCAAGAATTACAAGAACAGGGAATTAATATTTCTTGGTGGCATAAGGTTCAAATACAATTGCGATATGATAAAGATTATAAAATGTGGGGTTTTTATAAGGAGTTAACAACATTTGACCAAGTGATCTTAAAATCAGATGAGAAAAGGATTAAAAGACTGTATAATTTTCTTTTGGATATGAGAATGGAAGATGATCAAGTTAAGGAAACTATGATAACATGGGCACAAAATTGTGGATATAATATTGAGTTACAGAAATGGCAAAAGTTGTGGGAAAGAAATATCAAGGTAACTTTAGCAACCTCATATAAAGAAAATCTTTATAAAATGTTTTATAGATAGTATCTATCGCCAAATAGATTAACAAAGATGTTTCCAAATATGTCAAATGGATGTTGGAAAAGCAAACATAAACTGGGTACTTTTTATCACATGTGGTGGACTTGTGATAAGGCAAAAAAATATTGGACTAAAATACATAAATGGCTTGAGGAAATGTTACAAAAATCTTTAATATTTAAACCTGAAGTCTTTTTACTAGGCATTGTACCTGATGATGTTGATAAACAAGCAATGTATTTGATTCTACATGTAATTACTGAGGCAAGGATTGTATTTGCCCAACATTGGAGGAGTGAAGAACCACCCACTGATGAACTGATTTTAAAAAAGATTCTGGACTGTGTTGAGATGGACAGACTGACTTTGTCTCTGAAGGAGAAAGAGGATACATACTTCTATCAAATTTGGAACTCTTTTTATTATTGGCTAGAGAAACGGGACTATGTGTAGACTTGAATATGTTTACGGATTGCTATAAAAGAAATAAATAAATAGGGGGCTGACCCAGTAGGTCTGATGTTTCTGATGACTGATGTTTTTTAGTTTCTCTTTTAGTTTGTAGAAAATAATAATAAAATTTACTTAAAAAAAAAAGAAATACAATTCCCAGAGTAGATTTAAAATGTATGAATTATCTTTGCAGAAACAGCACCCAAGGTGACATCCCAAAAATTATTAAAATAAATAAAAACAATACATGGCATTAAATGTCACACCTCCTTCATGGATCACTGCCTTGTCGTGGTGAAGGGGCTTGCGTAGCTCAATGAAGCTATGAGCTATGCCGTGCAGTGCCACCCAAGACGGACAGGTCATAACAGAGAGCCCTGACAAAACGTGATCCACTGGAGAAGGAAATGGCAACCCACTCCAGTATCTTTGCCATGAAACCCACATGGACAGTACCAAAAGGCAAAAAGATATGATGCCGGAAGATGAGCCCCTCAGGTCGGAAGGTGTCCAATATGCTACTGGGGAACAGCAGAGGGCTAGTACTAGCAGCGCCAGAAAGAATGAAGTGACTGGGTCAAAGCTGAAAGGACACTCAGTTGCAGATGTATCTGGTGGTGAAAGAAAAGCTCGATGCTGCAAAGATCTATGCTCCATAGGAACCTGGAATGTAAGATCCATGAATCAAGGCAAGCTGGATGTGGTCAAACAAGAGATGACAAGACTGAACATCGACATCTTAGGAATCAGTGAACTAAAATGGACAGGAATGGGTGAATTTAATTCAGATGACCATCAGGTATACTACTGCGGGCAAGAATCCCTCAGAAGAAATGGAGTAGCCATCATAGTCAATAAAAGAGTAGGAAAAGCAGTACTAGGATACAATCTCCAAAATGACAGAATGATCTCAGTTCGAATCCAAGGAAAACCATTCAGCATCACAATAGTCCAAGTCTATGCCCCAACCACTGGTGCTGAAGAGACTGAAGTTGGCCGGATCTATGAAGGCCTACAACACCTTCTAGAATTGACACCCAAAAATGATGTCCTTATCATCATGGGGGATTGGAATGCTAAAGTAGGAAGCCAAAAGATAACCGGAATAATAGGCAAGTTTGGCCTTGGCGTACGAAATGAAGCAGGGCACAGGCTGGTAGAATTTTGTCAAGAGAATACGATGGTCATAGCAAACACTCTTTTCCAACAACCCAAGAGACGACTCTACACATGGACATTACCAGACGGTCAGCACAGATATCAGATTGACTATGTGCTCTGCAGTCAAAGATGGAGAAGCTCTATACAGTCAGTAAAAACTAGACCAGGAGCTGACTGTGACTCAGATCATGAGCTTCTTGTTGCAAAATTTAGGCTTAAATTGAAGAAAGCAGGGAAAAGCACTAGGCCACTCAGGTATGACCTAAATCATATCCCTGATGAATATACAGTAGAGGTGACAAATAGATTTAAGGAATCAGATCTGATAGACAGAGTGCCTGAAGAACTATGGATGGAGGTTCGCAGCATTGTACAAGAGGTAGCAACTAAAACCATCCCAAAGAAAAAGAAATGCAAGAAAGCAAAATGGCTGTCTGAGGAAGCTTTACAAATAACTGAGGAAAGAAGGGAAGTGAAAGGCAAGGGAGAAAGAGAAAGATACAAACAATTGAATGCAGAATTCCAGAGAATAGCTAGAAGAGATAAGAATGCCTTCTTAAATGAACAGTGCAAAGAAACAGAAGAAAACAACAGAACAGGGAGGACCAGAGATCTCTTCAAGAAAATTGGAGATATGAAGGGAATGTTTCATGCAAAGATGGGCGTGAGAAAGGACCAAAATGGCAGGGACCTAAAAGAGGCAGAAGAGGTTAAGAAGAGGTGGCAAGATTACACAGAAGAACTATGCAAGAAAGAGCTTAACGCCCCCGATAACCACGATGGGGTGGTCACTGACCTCGAGCCAGACATCCTGGACTGTGAAGTCAAATGGGCCTTAGGAAGTCTGAGCAACAACAAAGCTAGTGGAGGAGACAGTATTCCAGCTGAGCTATTCAAAATCCTAAAAGATGATGCAGTTAAAGTGCTACACTCAGTATGCCAGTAAATTTGGAAAACTCTACAGTGGCCACAGGATTGGAAAAGGTCAGTTTACATTCCGATCCCAAAGAAGGGCAATGTCAAAGAATGTTCAAACTACCGTACTATTGCACTCATTTCACATGCTAGCAAAGTTATGCTCAAAATCCTACGAGCTAGGCTCCAGCAATATGTGGACCAAGAACTATCAGAAGTACAGGCAGGATTTCAAAGAGGGAGAGGAACTAGAGATCAAATTGCCAACATATGCTGGATCATGGAGAAAGCTAGGGAGTTCCAGAAAAACATCTACTTCTGCTTCACTGACTATGCTAAAGCCTTTGATTGTGTGGATCACAACAAATTGTGGCAAGTTCTTAAAGAGATTGGAGTACCAGACCATCTTATTTGTCTCTTGAGAAACCTATATGCAGGTCAAGAAGCAACAGTGAGAACTGGACATGGAACCGCTGATTGGTTCAAAATTGAGAAAGGGGTTCGGCAAGACTGTATACTGTCGCCCTGCCTATTTAACTTGTATGCAGAGCACATCATGAGAAAGGCGGACCTAGATGAATCACCACTTGGAATTAAGATTGCTAGGAGAATTATCAACAACCTCAGATATGCAGATGATACCACTCTCATGGCAGAAAGTGAAGAGGAACTAAAGAGCCTCTTGATGCAGGTGAAGGAAGAGAGTGCAAAAGTTGGCTTGAAACTCAACATTAAGAAAACTAAGATCATGGCATCCGGTCCTCTCACTTCCTGGCAAATAGATGGGGAAGAAACGGAGGTAGTGACAGATTTTATCTTCCTGGGCTCCAAGATCACTTCAGATGGGGACTGCAGCCAAGAAATTAAAAGACGCTTGCTCCTGGGGAGGAAAGCTATGGCAAATCTAGACAGCATACTAAAAAGAGATCAGCGGGAGAGGCCCTTCTCTGAGAACCCTCTGTGAAGGATACTAGGATGGTAAGTACTCGGAGGAGGGCTTCCTCTGCGGTGGCGCCCAATCTACGGAATGCGTTCCCCAGAGAGGTCCGCCTGGCACCATCATTATTTGTTTTTCAGTGCCAGGCGAAGACCTTTTTATTCAAATGTTATTTTAATTGTTAATATTATTTATTTTATTTTTTGGCCAGGTCGACTCAAATTGTGTTGTTTTTATATTGTGTTTATTTATTTATTATTGTGAGCCGCCCCGAGGCTTTGGTGAATGGGGTGGCATAGAAGCTTCCTAAATAAATAAATAATAAATAAAAGCAGAGACATCACCCTGCCAACAAAAGTGCATATAGTCAAGGCTATGGTTTTCCCAGTTGCAATGTATGGCTGTGAAAGCTGGACCATAAGGAAGGCTGAGCGCTGAAGGATTGAGGCCTTTGAATTGTGGTGCTGGAGGAGACTCCTGCAAGTCCCTTGGACCGCAAGGCTATCAATCCAGTCAGTCCTAGAGGAGATCAATCCTGACTGCTCTTTCGAAGGCCAGATACCGAAGGTGAAACTCAAATACTTTGGCCACCTAATGAGAAGGAAGGACTCCCTGGAGAAGAGCCTAATGCTGGGAACAATAGATGGCAAAAGAAGAAGGGGCGGCAGAGAATGAGGTGGCTAGATGGAGTCACTGAAGCAGTTGGTGTGAGCTTAAGTGGACTCCGGGGGATGGTGGAGGACAGGAAGGCCTGGAGAAATGTTGTCCATGGGGTCATGATGGGTCGGGCATGACTTTGTGACTAACAACAACAACAAATGTCACACACTAGTTAAAATTATTCCTTCTCAAATTCTGAGGGTTCTTTAGTTTTGAGACAGGATAATTAAACAGGCTTGAAAGTGATTTGCAATCCTATGGATGTGTATGCAGTAGAGCTTGCTCCCCTAGAAGTGAATTTCAATTTGTGGCTCTATATCTGTAAGGTGGAACTGGTTGAAGGAAATGTTCAGAACATATATAGAAGAATGCCATATAGAAGTCTGGATAGTATTTTGGATTCTGATAAGATTTTGTCCAACTACAACCCCCCCCCACACACACACACACAAAATAGAGACCTTACCTGCTGGTTTAGTGAGGTGCTTGTTTAAGGCAATGTTTCGTTCACACATGTCCAGAAGATCTTTGCCAATATCTTAAAAACATTTCAGAAGCAAATATTTGTAATACTTGAAAATGAACGAAGAAAACCAAGAAAGAAGCAAGCACAGGAAAAGCAAGGAGTTTCATTCTTTCCTCCTAATAGCTCAGCTTGCTGGGCTGTTCGCCTGAACAACAAAGTTAATTGTGCTGAATACATACCTGTACAATAAATGGTTCTGGCAGCTTTTGCAGCGATGATACTAACAATCCCAGTGCCTCCCCCAAGTTCCAGCACAGTGCAATTCTTGAACAAAGCTTGGTTGCAGAGTATGAAGTCTGCAAGTAGGAAGGCCCCGCGCCAGATCTTCAGGACAAGAGGCAAAAGAAGTGTTAGGATGGCGTATGCAGGACAAATGAGAAAAACGGAGCGCAACAAGGCTACCCACCTGCTTGCCGACGTCTTCTAAAGGAGTTGCCATGGTGTGCTCTGGAAATGCAATTTTTCCATTATAATATGATAATGTCCCAAAAACCCATGCCCCAGCCATCTGCATCCAGACATTCTCTATTCCCAACCTGTGCGTGGTTCCTTTCACCAGCTATGCAGAGAAGGAGCAAATAATACCCTGAGTTTGGAGCAGGGCCAAACTGGGGGGTGGCTGGCTAGGGAGAGGTCTGAGAGGCCGGGAGGTTTGCATCTGGCCCCACATGCCAGTAATTCCCTAGTTATGACTGAGGTTATGCTACTGAGAGGTTAGTGTACAGGTGCAGCTCACCTACAAGCAAGTAAGACTGAGCCTGGCTAGCCCCTCCTCACTATAATGGGGTGAAGATCGGTATCAAAATGTCAATAAGCAATATGAAGGGGTTAAGTTAAAGTTTGCGTGCAGAGTTTGTGGAGAAAGTGTGTCTTAAGCTGATTAATCTAGAGGAGAAAGGAAGAACTAATAGGCCAGCCTTCCCTGCCCAGTGCCCTCCAGATGGTTTAGTCCACAACTCTCATCAGCACCAGGCAATGCGGCTGATGGCCAGAGATGATGGGAATGACAGCCCAAATGATCGGGAGGCATTAGGCTAAGAAATGCTCCAATAGCTAAACATTCTCTACATTCAGATCTCACATCTGCATATCTGAATAATGCTAAGAAAGATGAAAGTCATGCCATATGCAGGTGCTACATTACTGACCTATTTTAATAACATCGGAGCAGCTGTCATCTTCCTCTTGCTCTTCCAAGATACCTCCCCCTTTTGTCAAAATGATGGGACACACTTTGACCCTCAAAAAATCCTTCTCTTCTGTGTAAGGTAACTGAGGCTTTCGGACAACCTCCAAATCCCCATCTTCATCCAACAGAGCTTCAATTCCTTTTAAGGAGCACACTTCCTTCCCAGTGCTGTTTGAAGAATCTTCGCATTCAGAAATATCCTTCACACTTAATTCCTCTCCACATTTTTCTGGGTGCTTTAAGTTTTCCTTTCTAACATCCTTCTCTCCCTTCTCAGAATGCCAGTTGCTTTTGTCCAAAAGCAGCTTGAACTGAGAGAGAAACACTAAGAGGCAACAATTTGAAGTCAGACACTGCAATGTAAGCCCAGTCCTTGTAAATCTTCAAAACCCTATCAGGTAAGTACAAGAGCAACACAACAATAATTTCCAAATATTGCAAAACAGCTCTAATCTAGACCTTAATATATTTGCCCTCCCACCAAATCTGCCCATTTAACCAGTTTTATATACAAGATCCTACTGTTTTGGTGAGGCTCTTCTCCATGTGTCTGACTTTTTAAAATTACAAATCAATGAGTCTGGGTTGCTCTACCATAGTAGTTACTTATTTGAAATAGTTTTATCCTGATCCTCAGCTAAAAAAACTTCCACAGCAGATGACAAATAATCAGTAAAAGGAGACAGCAAAAGAATCATTCTCCCTGCGCCACTGCTATACTAACCCCACTAGTCAGGTTGCTGCCTTGGTTTCCTTCCATGTCAACTGCAGGCAGCATTCCCTTCAGGACCAACTCATCTCTCGGTGTCACCCTCTTCTTGCCCAATGCACTACTTGGACAGAGAAAGACTGCTTTGACCAGCTATCTGAAGCAGAGCTTGTAGAAGGCGTCTAAACCTCCCTCCAACTGTTCAGTCTGGTTTGGCTTCTTCCCCTCCACAGCTCCCCACCTTGGCAGGAAAGTAGGCTGAGTCTTGCAGGCTTTTCACCTGTACAAGTCCTTCATTTCAATCTCACAAAGCAGGCAATGTGGACAGATTATCAGAATCAGATGCATGAAGTGATCCAGTCCTAGTTAAACTTGCTGAATGAATCTTACTGAGATGAGATGAGAATCCCTGCCTGGGCCCTGGAGTTACACACTGGAGCACCTTTATGTTGAAAGCTCACCCTCCCTTTGCCATCGAAGATCACTCACTGCATCTCCCCCACTCCTCTGTTCCTTTGGCCTGACATTTCCTCAGCCTGCAACAGGTACTCCTCCCCTTCGAGTCACTTATCTTTCTTCATTCCCATCTCCCTCAAGGCTCGAAGCTTTCCTGAACTATCCTGGCCTTGCCTGGCTGTACCTCCACTGTCAAGCGCCTCTCTCACACCAACGTCTTGTCCTAAGACAGCAAGACCCTGCCCAGCAGCTCATTTTATGAAAAGGTGGAAGGGTGGTGGGTCAGGTCTCCATTCAGTTCCAAAAATTGGCTATCAGGAAGTTCTCCTAGCACATCCACACCTTCCTCCACACCCTTCTCTTGTTCCTGTAAGTGCAAGATTTGACTCTTTAAACCAGGGGTCCTCAAACTTTTTAAACAGGGAGCCAGTTCACTGTCCCTCATACTGTTGGGGGGCTGGACTATAGTTTGAAAAAAATATGAATGGATTCCTATGCACACTGCACATATCTTATTTGTAGTGCAAAAAACAGGAAAAACAATACAATATTTAAAATGAAGAACAATTTTAATCAACATAAACTTATTAGTATTTCAGTGGGAAGTGTGGGCCTGCTTTTGGCTAATGAGATGGTCAATGTCCGATCCCATATTTGCTCCTCTCTTCCTTATTCAGAGCCAACGCATGCGTGCAATGGGGGAAGAGCTGGTGCGTGCGCAATTCACGCTGGCAAGACCAGCACAGCAGCAGGAGCGAGCCAGAGACAGCAGAGAGACTAGCAGAGAGCCGGTGCACACGCAGTTGAAGGGAGCTGTCACAATGTGGCACGTGCTCCAGCTCTCTGCTAGTTTCGGAAACTGGAAGAGTTTCAGAGTACGCCTGCGCCAGCTCAGAGCTTCTGGATCATTTTCTCCGAACAAGTCCTAAAGCTCCAAGGCGGGCCGGGTAAATGACCTTGACGAGCCGTATCTTGCCCACGGGCCGTAGTTTGAGGACCCCTGCTTTAAACCTACTATCAACAGTTTGGGAAGTGACTTTTCTTTCCACCCGTGGTATAATATACTGGCACCCACATGTGTTGCTGAACAAAGATTACCTATCAAAAGCATTCATCAAAATTCAGCCTTGATTAGGGAAAGTGCCTGTTCTCTGAAAGCTATTATTTCTCTCCTTCACACAACCCAGTTAGACTGACCATTTTGCTTCAGATACAGGAGGGTCTGGTTGGCAGAAAGCCTTTCTCACTGGGCAAAGTGCACTGATGCCACATGCATAGGCTGCCAGAGATGCCAACAACTTCCACCCACCCTAGCATCACCCTGCATTACCTGGCTGGCCAACAGCATTCAGTCTAACCATAAACTGCCTTTTACTTGGGGTGTGTAAGTGAACATCCGACAGGACAGTATCTCTTTGAAACATCATGTCATCCATAGTCTCTCTCTCCTCTGCACCTATGACGGTGCACTTGTGAGTAGAGCATCTGTAACAACAAGGCATAAAATGATACGGCTAGGAAAATGCATATGAACCCCGAGTTATTCTGCAGCTGTATGGCAAATTGGTGCCTCCTGACAGTTTGGCCTCACATCTACTCTATTACCCATATTTCCCAGGCTCCAACCCGGCTCTGAAGGGTTCAACCAGCCACCCATGCTTCTTCCACACACATATGCCAATCTCAGAGGTAGAATGTGGGGAGAAGCAGGACTTCTGACAGCTGCACAACAAGCAGAAATCAACGCCTGAACTTATTTGCAAGGAGACACAACAATGGGGACAGTTTCACTGGCTGAATGCAGGTCTTGAATGCAGCAGCTGAAGGCCAAGTTACTCAGCCATGAAAGAAGCCGGAAGTCTCCTTTTTCTCCCCCAGGATTATATCTTACATGCCATGCTCCTTAACTGACTGTTTAGCATCTCCCTCCTTCTTCCACTGTACTGGTTCCAAGTTCCTCTGTTCTCCAGCTTTCCTGCCTTTTAGCACTCCTTCCTGCACAGTCCCGAAGCCTCGGTGTCTAAATCCATCCTAATTCACATAAGTTTGTCAGTTCCTTTCCCACATATTTACTACTGACATCAAGCAACTGATCAGCACTCAGCAGTTAGGATGTTTATGGCATTTCCATCATAACACAGCAGTTCAGCCAACGATGAAAAGCAGGAGATAGATGGCCACTTAAATAAATATTAAACATGCACACACAATCACTTAGCAACCTCTGGAAATTGCTCATGTAAATACAGGAAACTTTAGATCAACACTGCAAGGAAACCATTTAAAATGTAACACCAAAAGCTTAGTTCAGAAATAGTGATACAAACACAACCACGTTTGGAATTTTTTCTTTTAGAAAGCCCATGGTAGTTCAGCAGGTGATGCAAAGCAGGTCTGGCCTTCTATGTGAACTCCTCCTTGCTGAACTGAGGCTTGACCCAGGCAGTCAGCAGATGCAATTAGCAGCAGAGCAATCATGGCCCTGGATCCAGGAGTGGTGCCTGCCCCTTTGAAGTTACACCGCTCCTTTAACCCTCTGTGAAAGAAATTAGGAGGGTAGGTACTCGGAGGAGGGCTTTCTCTGCGGTGGCGCCCAATCTATGGAATGTGCTCCCCAGAGAGGT